ATGGTCAGTCGTAATTGTAGTTGAGACATCAACTATCTACTAGTAACTATTGTTCAGTGTTTCCTGATTTTCAGTTCACCAGATGATTTCAAGTTGTGTTAAATATTAGATTCAAATCAAAGTTATCTTAATGAAATACTTAAGTAAACTCCAGTTATAAAGCCTTTGCTTCTTGACGTAAAGTAAGTATTTTTCCAAGTCATTCATCCCAACCAGTTAAATAATGTGGCATTATGTTTAGACATTGACAGGTGTATATTCGAGAATATCTGTCAAACAATAATTAAACTGTGTGGCGAGGAGTCCCACAATGGGACGAAACGGCTGTCCAGTACTTCTAGGTTTCCCGTGGTGGTCTAGCTTCAATTGACTCATGACCTCAACTATTGAAATTACTATAATACCCACAAAAACCGTTTCTGATATTTGTATTACACCTGGAATTGTAGTTTTAATGATAGATTTCTAATTAAGGAGTTTAAATTATTGTGAAATAATTCAGTGAAATTCTAGTCGGTTTGTTATATACAGTGCAAATGATCACTCGATTTGACGTGAATGATGTGAACAAGTGACGATCATTCATGTAATTCAAAGTATTATATCTAGAACTTAAATTCCTAATATGCTGCGTACAACTTGAGCACTCAAACGCTAGAACCCTCCCAAGTCGTAAATCAGAAGACAGAAAACAAGTGAAAGGAATGCTATTCCAAAACAGTGTCACTTATGGTAAACAAAAAACTGTCAGCTATTTATAGCATTTGTCTAATAGGGAAGCTACACGTAACGATTCTAGAATGTTCTTCCATGGAATATCTTCGGTTCTTTCTGAATTTCTTGGAGCTTCCACTAGTTCACCGGTGGTCCATCCTCAAACAAAGTATTTATGCTAAGTTCTGTGCGTGAAATAGAGAACTGTTTAGTAAAGTAAATTATTTTATACAGAAGTAGAGCATACTTAAACTAGGGATCATTAAAACAAAAATGTAAATGATGAAATACTACTTAAAATATAAATAATTGAAAGATATAAATTTTATGGGTTATTCAACAGCTTAAAACTTTACAAGTTAACTATCAGGTCTAAATTTTGTCAGAGTACAGAATAAACTGAGGTTTTTTTCATCAACTTACGTGGTATCAGGTCGATTTTTTAAAATATCGGTCATATTTAAATCCGGTGGAACATTAATTCTTGGAGTAACATAAATAGTTACATCATCTAATTCGATGGATTCAAGATTATTGATTGGGGAATAATGGAAATTCAACTGGAAAATAAGAACAAAATAAAAAGTAATCTAGTTTGTATCAAAGTTTATGAACAACTCAGATGATAGAAATAATAACTGAGTCTAAAAAGAATGAATTTTATTATTAATTCATTTCTTTTAAATAACCATTTATTTGCTGCTCGTGTTTCATTATCATAACTAGATAGTCGTTGAGAATGTTATTTAGCTTGTCAGTGGCGACAAACGCCTTGGTATGGCCGAGAGTGGGAAGAGTCAACTCTACCTCTCCAGATGCTCTCACATGGCCATGTGCACACAACCACTGATAAGGAAGACCTACTCACTGCCTTCTCGGACCACGGGTGTTATTTACGAAATTGAGAGGACGCGAAGCGAATGTCCGGCGCTTTAACCGGGTAGGTGGATGTAGAGAGTCCGCCTAAAGGAGTTGGAAAACCCTGATTCCAAAGCAACGATGCACGTGGGCTCCAGGATCCTGAGTAAACAAATGGTGTATAAATCTATTGTTGGTCACCGGTCACTATGGGACTGCATCTATTTACGTTTATCCACTGACATGTGAATTAGACCTTTAGGTCAAAGACTCTGGATGTGGCTCCCTTAGAAAATCACCTACTTCGGTTTGGGCAGCCGGACAGTATCCTAGCCCTCACACAAATCAAATGATTTGTGTGGCACATATCTATTTGGTGCCTTCTTGTACTAAGGTTTATGTGTTTAAATAAATAAATAAGCTTGGCAGTAATCAACCTATTATCATCCTTATTACTTCGATAATATCTATTCTGAAACTTTATAATGAGTATAATTTGTATATATATCGAGTGAAACAAATCGACTGTCGATAAATTATTTGGTTCTTGAAATAGTTCGGCGTTTATCTCCGTGTGAACGAAGTTTAATAGACTGATGGTTTGATTGAATTCATAACCTATTACACTAATGACTTCCTGAACGAGAAGCACACCACAAAGTTGAATTCAAGTGACCTAAGATCAAGTTTAGAGATTATAAGTGGATTTTATATTTTGAAATACTTTGAGGTCAGATTTTAAAGACAACGACAGCTTATGCTTTGAAAGATGTAAAAACCTTTACAGATTTGGGCAGCATCATTGATAAACACGGTGGATCTGATGAACATGTAAAGGTGAGGATCGACAAAGTAAAAGCAGAATATTCACAACTGAAGAACATCTGGAACTCAAAACAACTGTCAACCAACACAATAGTCAGAATTTTCAATACAAATATCAAGACAGTTCTACTGTATGTGGTGGAAACTTGGACAACTACGAAAGCCATCATCCAGAAGATACAAATGTTTATTAACACTTGTCTATACAAATTACTTCGGATCTGTTGGCCAAACACTATCAGCAACAACCTACTATGGGAGAGAACAAACCAGATCTCAGTGGAGGAAGAAATGAGAAAGAAGCGTTGGAAGTGGATAGAACACACATTGAGGAAAGCATCCAACTGTGTCACGAGACATATCCTCAAGGCCAAAGGAGAAGTGGAAGACCAAAGAAGACATTACGTTGTGAAATGGAGACAGACATGATAAGAATGAACAACAGTTAGATAGGACTAAAAATGTAGGCTCAGGACAGAAAGTGTTGGAGAATGATGGTCGGAAGCCTATGCTCCAACGGGACTAACAGGCTTAAGTAAAGTGAGTATGTAAGCTTATGCCATCGGGAAATATTACGGTATGCGCTTACAAAATACTGATTGTTCAATACATTATTAGAACAGTAATTTTTACAACTTCAATTGGCATTCAATAGTAGTGAATTTATTGTTTGGGAATTTTATGCTAGAACGAACCAGCTATATAGAACCTCTTGGATCTAAATAATTTTCTAACTAATATCAACCAGTCATGTAACTGAATTATTTGAACACTTATTGACACATCTGTTTTCCATAGTTTACATCACTGACTGATTTAAGATGGTGGAGAAGATTTGTAGCTCAGGTGGTTGATTTTGATGGAGTTTTGTTCTCTGAGCTGGATGGTTTGGTCGTGGAGCTTTCATTGTTCTTCTGAACGGCATCATTAGTATAAACTTCATGTAGAAGTCTACATCCAGCTCAGAGAACGAAACTTCATCAAAATCATCCACCTGAACTACAAATCTTCTCCACCAACTCATGATAAAAAAGTCCCGTACATTTTGAGATAAAACAACCACTATTGATCATTGACAGTTAGTACAAGTACCTTATACTTTGTAAAGAACACTGTCGAAACTTATGGCAGGTTACCTGACAGTTCTATTATAAGTCATGTCTGATAACATCTCAAGTTATTTATGAGTATCAGTATCAAAGTTGAACTTAATAGTTTTAAATAAATTGAACATTGGGCAAATAGTTAATAATAGATATCGATTTTAATTTTTGTTCTGAAGAAGTGATTTACATTAAATCACGAAACATCAGAAATGTCATTTTCCTACTCATTGGGAAGTAACAAAAATATATTTAATATCAAGTTATTTAGCTGTATAGTACTTAGAAGAATATTAAGTGGATTATGCCAAAGTAATGAAATTTAATCAATTAAATCTATTTCTCATTGGACATTGTCACTATGTAGTGAACGAGTACACATAAGTGGGGACAACCGAACAACCAAACAGTAAATACTTCATTTACAAAATGTCAATCAATGACTTGATTGTTTCTTCGTTTACACGCCAATTATTCTCTGTTCACATTCTCTTCTCTTCGATCTTCTGAACCATCTGACGCTAGGCATTTCACTTTTGATTGTTGATACATACTACTTATATCTATCACCGACAGTAGCACATACCACAACTATATCAACTAATTGTCTGTCTTTTTTCTCATTCAGTTTCAGTATTACGAAATACAAAATGCCACTGTATGGGGTTATGATGATTGTTAAGTTTTCGATTGAGATAATGTATTGATTAATGTTAGACCACCATTGAAAAACTGGAAGCACTAAACGGTCATTTCGTCCTAGTATAGGACCCCTCAGCGGTGCACATACACGATCCCGCCCTGCGGGATCCAAACCGAGGACCTCCGAACTCGCACACGAACACTTAACCTCTAAATCACCGAGCTGGACAGCATTCAACAGTGCTAATGTCTAACTTCCATCGATCCATGAATAGATGTGCAACCATTCATCTATTGTTTGAAGTAGATACCTGTCTCAATGATGGACTACTATCAATTGATTCATGATCTCAAACTATAACTAACTGTTATTCAGATCAAAGTGTTCAACCCTTATCTCATTTGGCTCTGTTAAACTTAACATAGTCTACTAGGATTTTTCATAATGATTATTTATGAAATAAAATACACTATATTTTCATTGAAATATTTTAAAATCTCAAACTTATACCTTTATCCATCATGAATAAATCAAATTAGACAGTGTGAAGGAGTTGATCAAGTTATCAATTGTAAGATATTTCACAAAACAATGTTTACTATTCTATAGTGTTATTTATCAGTAGAGAAGTGACGTCTTAAAACTTCAAATAATCGGTCACTTATAAATGATCTCATTGAGATTACTTACTTACTTACTTATTTACTTACTTACGTCTATTACTCCTTGTGAAGGAGCATAGGCCACCCACTAGCACTCTTCATCCAGTCATGTCCTGGACAATCCTTTCTAGCTCTTTTCAGTTGTTATTCATCTTTTTCATTATCTGCTTCCGATTCTCGACATAATGTGTTCTCTGGCCTACCTCTTTTCCGCTTCCTTTAAGAATTCCAAGTTACCCCTTGCCTCATGATGCAGTTTGGTGATTTCTGTAACTTATATCCTATCCATTTCCATCGTTTTTTCCGAAATTTCCTCTTCAGCTGGAAGTTGGTTTGTTCTCTCCCACAGAAGGCTATTGCTGATGGTATCCGGCCAATGGATGTCGAGTATCTTGCGTAGACAGCTATTTATAAATACTTGTACTTTCTTGATGATGGTTGTTGTAGTTCTCCAAATTTCAGCTCCATACAGTTGTTCGTATTGAATATTCTCACTTTGATGTTGGTCGACAGTTGTTTTGAGTTCCATATGTTGTTCAATTGTAGGAATGTGACCCTTGCTTTGCCGATCCTCGCCTTAACGTCTGCATCCGAACCTCCTTGTTCATCGATGATGCTTCCTAGGTATGTGAAGGGCTCTACATCTTCCAGAGTTTCGCCATCAAGAGTGATTGGATTGCTGTTCTTCGTTTTGAATTTGAGGACCTTGGTTTTCCCCTTGTGTATGCTGAGGCCTACTGATGCAGAGACTGCTGCTACACTGGCTGTCTTTGTCTGCATCTGTTCGTGTGTACGTGATTACTTTTTAATAATCATAAATTATTAGTATAGGGTTGTGGAGATTGAGATCATGAATGAATCTATGTTAGACCATTGTTGATAATCTGGAAGTGTTGAATGACTGTTGAGAAGTCGTATACTAGGACGAGACGGTCATCCAATGCTTTCAGGTTTTTAATGATGGTCTAACATTGATCCATTCATGATTTCAATCAAAATAATAAATTGTATAAAAATTATAAAAGATTTTATCAGTATAGGTTTGTGAAGATTATTGAGTTATTCATTGAGATCTTGAACCGATTGATGTTTGACCACCATTGAGTTATTCCATGTCGGGTAGAGACAGGTATCTACCTCAGACAATAAAAAATGCTCGTGCAATTTCGTGGATCGGTTGAGGTTAGACATTACCACTGTTAGATGTCGGCCAGCTCAGTGGTCAAGTAGGTTAAACGTTCAAGCGCGAGACTAAAGGCCCTCGGTTCGGATCCCGCATTGCGTGATCGTGGATGCGTACTGTTGAGGAGTCCCATAATAGGACGAAACGGCCGTCCAGTGCTTTTAGGTTTTCTATGGTGGTCTAACTTTAACTGACTCATGATTTCAACTATTGAAATAATATAATAGTCAAATGACATGTATAATTAACTTACTTGTGATCCATATGGAGATTTTTTAAAATAAGTTGTTTCATATAATGGTTCATTTGGATTAAGTGTACGATGACCTTGTGTATGACTAGCGAAGTTACCAATATTATTTAAACGATCATTACTTTTCATAATATGGTAACGTGCCACATGACAACGATATTCTTTATCAACTTGAAAACGTTTATATTGTTCTTGAAATTGTGGATAAGTTGACCACCCTATTTAGTAGATTAGTTACAGTATTATTATTATTATTACTGTTATAAGATTGTGTTATATAATGAAAATTATGTTAACAAGGGGATACGTCACTTGATAGTGGACGCATTAGTTGATAATTTTGTGTTTTCCACCTGCGAGATATTGTAAACTAATTTTTTTATAATGAATTATTCTCAGATAAGTGATATGATTGAATAATACATTGAATAATCATTATATATACTCTCTACATTCATTGGCTGGATACCATCAGCAACAGTTTACTATGGGAGAAGACAAACCAGCTTTTAGTTGAAGAGGAAATTTTGAAAAAGACGATGGAAATAGATAGGACATAAGTTACAGAAATCACCAAACTGCATCATGAGGCAAGGGGTAACTTGGAATTCTTGAAGGAAGCGGAAAAGAGGTAGGCCAGAGAACACATTACGTCGAGAATCGGAAGCAGATAATGAAAAAGATGAATAACAACTAGAAAGAGCTAGAAAGGATTGTCCAGGACAGGATTGGATGAAGAGTGCTAGTGGGTGGCCTATGCTCCTTCACAAGGAGTAATAGACGTAAGTAAGTAAATAAGTAAGTAAGTAATAACGGAAATCAAAATGAGATTTTGTAAGATCATAGTTGAACATTAAAACAATCTGTTCAGTAATTAAGTACACTTATTCTGAATTGTATGAGTTATTTAGATAAAATTCGTAAGCTTGTCAAACATAATATTTCTTATAGGATTAAATAGTGATACCATTATTTTATGGACGATCTCTGAGCAGCGCTAAAATAACCGTCGGATATCCACCTACTCACTAAAGTTACATGAAGATTATGGTTTAGTATGAGAAATTAGGATTATGATTTACAGTTGAACATTACGATTAAGAATTAGATTTGACGTTTTCATCACGTACTGACATTAGCTATAATATTAAAAAAGGTATTCAGTTAAATGAGTGAATAGATTTGGCGCCAAAATTTAAAACCTATTACCTTAAATCTGATTGGTTCATTCATCAATTATAGTTTTACCCATTTATGAATCGAAATAATACTTACATTTCATTGAACTATCTTGAGGTAAAACTATGGCATATTTCTCTCCTGGTTCCATCTTTATATCACATTCATTAAGAAGATTTAGAAATTCAGTAGCTTTCAACTTTTCACCATATTGTTTATTCTGAATGAATTCTTTGAATGTTATAACTATGGTAAAGAAATATGATATAAAGCAAAAATTCATTGAATTATTCCATTTTAATATCAGTTAGGTTGTGTGGATAATATGGTAATTTCAATGGTTCAGATCATGAGTCAGTTGAAGCTAGACCACCATGGTGGATTTGTCGCTCAATGTCGTGGATTAGTTGAAGTTAGACATTAACACCGTTGGATACCGGCTAGCTCAGTGGTTTAGTGGTTAAGTGCTCGCGCGCGAAGCCAGTAGGTCATGGGTTCGAATCTCGTAGGGGGCAGAGTCGTGGATGCGCACTGCTGAGGGGTCCCACAATAGGATGAAATGGCCGTCCAGTGCCTTCAGATATTCCAGTTTAATTGATAGTGCATATTTAAATTGTAAAGTTAAGTAAATGATTTCCTTTTTGGACAGAAATTATATGTCAAGTATATGGAAGATATTAAATGTAAAAACTGTACTTAAATAACCTTTTAATAGCTCTCAAATATCTGACACTAATTTGATCGTGTGATGATTATTATCGATTTGAATATATCGTCAATCCATGTATATAATCATCGACTTAAATTGAGTCGGTAAATAGTGGAATTTGATAAGTTAAATACAAGAACGAAGTTTTGAATACATATATTTGGTACAGTCGCTGATCAGAACAGACAATCAGAGAGATGGAGTGAAGGAAGCGAAGAGAAACAAATTAGCGAAGGAATGTTAGCCAACTCGCTTTAAACAAGCGTGAATCGATATTTATGGTCAAATCGAAGCAAGGCAAGGCAAGGCAAAGCAAATAATGTGATTTAAGAAAAATGAATAGATTGGTCTTTCCAGAAGCTAGAATAACTTATGTGGCCTTGACATAGGGCTAGCCGCTACAACCTCACCGACTGATTCTACTGCCTGTGAAGAAGTTCCGACCAAATTCGTGAATAAAACGTTAAAATTGTTTAGATTTGTGTTGTGAAAATCGTTCAAATACAATTCTTAAGTAATAACAGTATCAGAAGTTGTTATGTCAAAACAGTGTCATATTTTTCTATCTTTTGTTTTGCTTGATAGCAGGAACTTGTTTCTGTGACAAACTAAACCCAAGTGAAATGAGTTATGGAATAATACTTGTTGTTTAGCTTGATGCCGTATTTAATAATAGTAACTAATCGATTTGGATTTTATGTTAGTTGCCATTTGTCACTAGGCTGTAGTTGGGATCTAGAAGGGAGAAGGTAATAGTATCTCCTAGGTGGATTGGAGCTCGATTAATGCAATATCAAATATTTATTGAAAAGTGAGAAATAAATATATTAAAAGTACTAGCTGCAGTCCTAAACATCAATCGTAAAATTCAAACAAACAATATACATGAATCAAACTTCACTCCTTTGTACAAGTTAGTGACGAACTGGATTCAATAGCTAAGTGGCTAATGCGATAGAGTTTGGATTGAACAGTACTGGGTTCGAGTCCCGAAGTGAAAATCAACTCGGTTACAAGTATATTCCGATGATGAATTCAAAATAGAACGAAATGCGCCTCTTAAATTCCACTTCTAGCCCTTATTCATCTCTATGTAAAATGCTTATAGCTTAATGGCAATATCGAGGCAATCTAAACAGTATAGACATATCTCAAAAGAGTTTGATCAAACCCAGTTGTAAATAACAATCAGAAGATTCAAATAAATAATAAATATATATTAATAGTATTTTGTTTATATTTTATAGATTGCAAATAAATGAGGCCAGGCTATCAACTTTAGTTAAAACAAAAGAGAGCTAATAGAATTAATAATAATGAAGTGTGGTCAAAGAATATACTGATTTCACGATGAATTAGAAAACAAAAAGACTTCCATAACTACTTTGAACAGTTCTAACAATAGTCACACTGGATAAATTGTTAAATTCTTTTTTATTAACCTGTTATTTTGTCAATTTTAGATTAAACGATGTTGTTGACGGGCTCATCACTTTAGTAGCCCAAGATTTGACTCCAGTAAGATCGTTTCTGTTTGCTGTTGAAATATACATGTTGCCAATAATCATCGTGTATAATTATCGACTTAGATTGCGTTAGTGATGTAACAGAATTAAATAAGTCGAATACGAAAATGGATTTCGAATATGTATATTTAATACAGTCATTGGTCTGCGCGGACAATCAGCGGAACGAAGCGAAATGGCGAGCAGTGGAGAAGGTGTATGCGCCAACTCCAATTAGTCAAGAGTTAATCAATACTTGTAGCCACACACAAAAATACGCTACAGACATGTGGTAAGTACGGTAAGATGTAAACACACATACACACACGCTTATATATAAACAGTCATGGTTGATAAGCGAATAATTAACAAAATCAAAATGTAGCTTAAGGAAGAATGGTAAACTTGGTTTGTCCAGAAGTTAGAATAAGCTATATGGGCTTAACATAATAACGGACACTACATTTTATTTGTTCTTCTCCATTGATTTACAGTGTTGAATGTAATTATAAGTAATTTATCAGTATGATAAACAATAATGATCATTTATAGTTCATTTTCTTTATTGGTCACATAGTTGAATATGTATTGGACATATATATGAATCGTGTTTAATTTCTTAAACATTACTGATTAACTAGAGATTTTTCTCTCAGTGAATGTTAGTTAGGTTCAAGAGATAGAAGCCCTTTTGATAGTTGAATTCATGAGACTAGTATGGTGAACTTAGAAGCATTGGACAGCTGTTTGATCGTGTTGTGAGACCCCTCAGCAGTGTGCACCTACGATCCCGCTCGCAAGATCCGAACCCAGGACCTTAGATCTCGAGCGCAAACGCCTAACTGTGGGGCAACTTCGTGGACCAGTCGGAATTAAACATTGAATGCCGACCAACTCAGTGGTCTAGAAGTTAAGCGTTTGCGCGCAAGACCGATAGGTTCTGAATTCGATTCTCGCAGGATGGGATTGTGGATGTGCACTGCGTAGTAGTAGTTCCATCCTCTTCTGATAAATCAGTTATGTAAAACGTCCTTTTTTTC